CGTAGAAAAAGAGTATGTAATGTAGATTTTGAAAAAGAGTATAAATAAGACAAAGGAGTTTTCATAATTTCATTTTTTTGCGTTTGATTATGAAATAAGAGGAAGTATGTTAGTTATTGTTGATTAATTTTTAGTAAGTTGTCAATTTTGACAAAAACAATGAATGTATGATCACATGATCACTTTACTACGTATCACTTCGATCATAATTTACTTCCAACTACTTAAAGTGTTTAGAATACAACTAGTTGCTAATATTCTAACTAATCACTTAGTTTAAGCAATCCAATTAAATTATATATTAGACAACTTGTATATTTAATTCACATGAAAGGAAAAAAAATATAATAATATTATTTTGACAACATTATTTCTTTGGACATAATATTTTATCTGACATCAAAACCATGTGTGTTCCATATATTCATGAAAATCTCTTGTTTTTTTTTTGCAGCACAGAAGGACAAGGCTTTGCTTTTAGTGGCTGCTAATCATAATTAATTGTTAAAACTTGCATTAGGTACTAATTATTCACCATATTTTATTTATTTTTTTTCTTTTTCTTTTCGGAGTTGTAGTTTTTGGTGATGCATGCAATGTTTTTTATATATATATATACACTACAACCAAATAAAGAATTTCCCAACAATAATTATTTATGGAAATAAAAGATATGGGTATTTATAACAAGGATTCTCTTTATATTTGAGGTAGAGCTAAGTGGGAGTTCGCGCGTTCGAATGATCAGTGTATATTAACTTGTAGACCCTTTAACAAAACTAATTAACGGCTGATCAGTGATAAGGAAATGAACCATAAAAATGCTTTCCACAAAAAAGTTGTGTATTTGAACTGCACTATCAATAGAAGTTTCTCTTTTACTTAACATTAGAACCTCTAAACTCCAATTATGCTAAAGAATTTAGTGACTGAAGATGCAATGATGTTAACTCAATTAAATGCTGAAAAATCTATTGCCACTAAACGTCTCTTTCTGTATCAGTGAAGTTTAATTGAAGGCCTTTTATTTGGCCCCCCCACCCCGAACTGCACTATCAACAAAACTTTCTCTTTTATCTAACATTTAGAACCCCTAAACTTCAATTATGCTAAAGACTTTAGTGACTCGAGATGCAATAATATTAACTCACTTAACTGTTGAAAAATCTATTGCCATTAAACGTCTCTTTCAGTGTCGGTGAAGTTTAATTGAAGGCCTTTCATTTTGTCCCCCCCCCCAACCCAAGTTTGTCACTTACATGTAGATGCAAATTGAAGTATAAAAATGTTAGGATCGAATCCACACACACACTTGATGAACGAAGAACACAAGAACTTTCAAGAGAAATAGATGAGAGATCTAGAGAGAGAAAGAGAGAAACCAATATCTCATGGTAACACCCCGTGAGTAAATTTTCACGGCGATGGATATATATATTAATAATTCAGAGTATTTTTAGTTACAGAGAATAAATGAAATCGCGTGAACATTAATATATGACAGTATATCAAATATTAATCAGGCTCCACCACCTAAAAAAAAATGTATTCTCTTGTATAATTTATTGAGCAAACGACCTATAAAGTGCTTAAAATTAGATTATGTTATCATGAAATGAAGTAGGGGATTTGGAGTTATGATAATTACTGTTCCCATCCAATTCACATGGATCAGAAAATAAGCAAAATTAATATATTTGCATGACACTAATCACTATAAATTAAAGTATATATCTCGTGGAATTTGAATTTAAAAAAATTTCATAGACGACAAACACAAAGAGTTAATAAAGATTCACTTGCCACAAAATCCCGCATGATTTTATATAAGCGATATCGACCTATATATATATATATATATAATAGTGTTTCGCGCAACTCAATTAATTAATACGTAAATTTGGGTGTGGAAGGTTCTAAGACATTTGTGGGCGATATTTTTTGCCTTCGCTAAATTATAAATCTGAGATCTTAAAATTTTAAATCATTTTATTGACCACGTATTGGGCTACATTCGTTATAAATTGTATCTCTCCATATATAAATAAATAAATATATGAAAATATATGTTTTTGGAAAAAAAAAAAGTAATACTTGTTGTAGAAGGACTAGAGTTATATACATGCATTTGCATTGGTTACTAAAATATTGTTGAATCAGTATTTATGTCTTAGGTGGACATTTCCTCTTTTTCAGATGCGTGAAAGGCAAAAAAAAATTTAAAAAATAAAATTTAAAAAAATTAAAAAAAGGGCAAAATTTCTATTGACGGGTTTTAAAAAATAGTAAACGGAGCTTAAAGGGTATAAAATATTAAACAAAAAATTTAAAATAGAATATAAAATTTTATATTAATCAAAACGGTAAAATCGCTGTTGTTCCAGCGATTTTGCCGTTTTGGTTAATATACAATTTTATATACCATTTTAAAAATTTTATTAATATTTTATACCCTTTAAGCTCCGGACTCATATTAATAGTATCTACATATAAGCAGATCGGATCAAATATGAACGACTGAATTATAAATAACTAGATAAAATCCAACAATAC